TTTTTTTTTTTTTAATGAGATCTTAAATGAACCTTTAAATTTCATCGTTATATGCTTAAATTCTAAAATATCATTTTTCAAATATACGAAAGTAAGCTGACAGTTTTCTCGATCTTCGTCTGGATTCGTGCAGTTTCGACACCGAAAGAGAAATGCTGGTTGCCCGGTTATCTGAAAATTCCAATCGAATCTCACCGAGACGCTTCTGTCTCGCACATTAGTTTGCATCTGGGAGGAGATTCATATGCCGTGCTATATGAATTTCGTTCCTTTTGAAACATCGCGAGCCGCGCGTTATTGGAAACCCGCGTAAAAGTTTATTATCGCCGGCAACTTTTTCATTGAAGGGAAGCCTGTGTTTGCAAACGGAGTTCTGTCGTTTCGACAGCCGCGGCGCGCGACAGCTGAAACTTTCCAGGCCCGATCCACTTCTTTGTCATAATCAGCAACGCGGATGGGAACAAATGGAAAGCTGTTTTTACGGCGGGACTTTTTTTGAAAGACGTGACAATGTGGTTTCGCTTTATTAACTGCGTTAACGACTTCAAGCGTTTTACAAGCGTTGTCTTCTCTCTAGCATTTTTTTTTTTTTTTTTTTTTTTTTTCTTTATTCGTAGTTTTCCTCGAATAAACAGACTGCGTTGCATGGCCCGTATTAAGCCTCGTTTGTTTAAAGTCACACCGAAATTTTGTAACAAGAGTATTGTTTCGATCCGTAATTTTTTTTTCAATCTTCTTAGATGAAACGTTTATTATTGTAACTGTAACGTAACGTAAAGCAATTCGTTATTAACCTTCGATCTCGAGAATTCGTATTTGAAATTTGAATTCAAATTTCTTTCGAATCGATACCGTAATTATTTAATTTATATTAGTCTGACTCGATGTTAAAGCAGTTGAAGCTTGTCAATTTTGTTTTATTACAAATGTAGATAGCTTGTGCATTAAAGCAACATTTAATTCAAGTATGAGACTGTATTATTTACAGTAAAAGTTGCTTGTAATACAGATTTCCAAAAAAAAAAATCTACATTTACCGATCGAAAAAGTGAAGTGAATCAAGCCAAATTGATATACATAATTTGATGAGATTTAAAAAAAGAAAATAAAGATTTAGAAAATTTCTTTAAATTAGAAATTACAAAATTCAAATTATAAAATAAAAGAAATGAAACAAATCTAAGAAATAAAGAGGCCAGCATTTAAAATTAAGTCAAAAATACGTATGCAGTGTTATGAAGGAAATTAGGAAAATTCGTCATTTTTTGAAATTTATGAAATTCTATAGTGCATAGTATTCAACAAACTGGAACTAAAATCATTTGTTCGAAAAATATAGATTAGAAACTTCAATGAATAGCAAAACAGAAACGTGAAAGATTTTTTAACTTTTAACTAATAATTATGACAGTATCGAGATGTATCGAATCTGAGAAGTTGAATATTACTTTGAAGAAAATTATAATCGTCGAAACTTCTATTAACAATTTAATTACATATAATTTCATCTGCAACAACCTAACATAAGTTTCATAGCATTGTATTAAACATTAATTATATATTAAAGTTATTAGAAACTTCGAAGCAAGACTGACGTGAAAATAACCAGTTTCTAATTTTCAATAAAAATTTTGTAAATTTACACAGCGAAATTTACGTGATTTTCCATAAAATACATGAACAAAAGCTTTTATATTTTCGTTTTTCCCTGACACGCTTCAATGCTCGATTGTAAACGAAATAATTACATGAATCCTTTTTGTATAAAATTTATTTCATTATGTAAAAATGTGTGTAACATCCCTTTCATCAACGATGCAAAAATTTCTGTATAAAATATAAGAGAATTTACTGTTTAATTGATTACGAAATGTATAGTAGAAAATTAATTTCTGTTGCAAATTTTAACTCTATTGTGCATATTTTACGAACATACTTATCTTAGACACGACTCAAATATATTTAAACTTCTTGCCCTGAAGTTACCATGTTAAACAAGTTACCATGAAACTTTTGACAGGCGTTTAACATGCAGTTGCTCACGTTGATATTCGGACACTAAATGTTTAAACAAAATACAATAATTTATTTTAAAGCTTGGAGCTTATATTTTCAAAATGCACCATTCACTTTGTTCTAGAGATGTTTTTATATCACGTAGAGCGGCTAGAGGAATAAAGATTTTCTTCTCGAAAATATGACAAATTGTACGTAATAGTACGTGGAAACAATTTCAAAAAACATTTTTGTAACTGAGTCTACAATTGGATTTGAAGATCGAAGTCTTTCGTTTACAACGAGCCTCTGAAACTTGATGTACGATTTATTTCCTCCAATTCGTTGAACTTTGAATATTATTTGAACTTCGAATGAAGGCGGAAACGAATGTAACGAGTATTCCCGAAAATTGATCAAAGTCGAATGAAACGATGAAGGAAAGTTATATATCGAGTTTAGGGAGTTGTCGTAAAAAGGATGCTTCAATCTTCACGATGTTTTCGAGAACGTCGGAAATTTTAGTGTTCGAACACTGAAGCGACTGTACGTAAGATATATACAGGGTGTCTCAGGAGGAAACCGAATAACTTTATCAGTGTTATATACACTGTGGATTTTGATTCACTTATTTTTTATTTATTTCGAAAAATAGACCTTACATTTGTATAATTAGAATAGAGAAATAATTTCTTATTTTTCGTAGATTTTATATCTCTTTCGTTTTACTGGTAGGAGATGTTCAAAATGATGTGAACATATATTGAATTGAAGTTTTATGATTATTCATGCTATTAATTTTAATTTTTAATGTCGTATAATTCGGTATTGAGTATTGTTTCTATTAATTCTATGCGTGTTTTCAGGCTGTACTATTGTCGTTACTTTTGTAGGTTAGG